TACAGAAAAGCAGAGCAGTTTGAATGCATCATTTTCTTTGTGAAAATCAAATGTCATGTCTCTGACTGATGTGGGTATTCTGGGCAGCCATAGGTCAGTGAGCCTGAGACCTTGTAGGTGAGTCACAGGACCAGAAGAACAAAAAATGTGTGGGGCTGTGAACAATGTACACTTTTTTCATGGCATTTCTGATCACAAAGACCGGTATCTCTCTCCCATGGTGAGGGCTGTGCACTCGTTCTGTACTCTGTCCCTTTGAGGAGATTCCAGTGGCCCACACAGGTTTTCCCATACACATTCCCGAGGGCTTTCTAAAAGGAACCCAGTCTCCTTCCTCAGTTTCAAAGAGAAACAGCATGTCTTCCATCCCAAACTGTTTGGTCTGGAGACACTCTGAGGCCTGTTCTCCGTTCTCGTGATGTTCCACGACGAAAACAAAACAACACAATGGCGCCAGATCAGACTCATTTTTCCTTCAAAGGCCAAAACTGAATTCCACAATGACAATGAAAAGCATCACCGACAACACTTATGTGGCCCACAAAGGTCAACCCCATCAGGAGTTTCACAGGTTCGGCACAGACATGCTTTTATTAAGGTCATTGAGGGTCAAAGCATGACTTCAGTACCGAGGCTGATGAGCAAACACAGGACAGTTTGATGCTGCCCTCGTTGTTAGAGTCAAACTGCCTGTCCCCTATGTTTCATTAGTTCCTCTGAGATTCATTGACCAAGTTCAATTGCTCAAAAAGGCTCCATCAGCAAGCCTTGTCTGCTCCGATTAGGGCCAGGCCCTTTGTCAGTGGGCAAGGTGTCCGTCGCTTTTGTCCAAGTGCACGGAACCCAGACAGCAGCCAGACAGGGCCATGCTGCAGATTTATACAGCAGATTACGTCGGTCAATGGCGGCTCCGGCCCTAACGCAGTGCTGGTTTAGATAGTAGCGGTGTGTTTACACTGTCAAGGGTTTTCTGTTACTGGTCTGTAGCCATTATCTTGGCAGCCACTGGGCGTATCAAGCCTATCATTTCCATCTGGGGGCTTTGATGGAAGAGGGGATCGAAGGGAAAAATTACCACCACCCCAACTGCTCTTCATTCTTCTCTCACTGCACATTCTGAATGGACAGGTTGCAAGGCATTGATCTATTAATGATGCATAAAATGAATTAGTAAATTTGCTTTTGTGTTGCAACACATACATTGTGTAGACCTGGTTCAATCCAATTGTTGTATTTAGTCATTGTAAGTAATCACATAAACCTAAAGTGAATATACAACCCAGGAATAATATGCTTTCCATGCATGAACTCCAGCTGACATTCTAAATACCAGAGCTGTAATGTGAATGATTCTTCTCAGTGCCCTGAGCCAGATTACGGGTTTCTGTGAGTAAATCGACTTGTATGTAGACCTGATCGTACTTTAAACATATTAAGTGCATGTGAGGGGGGGAAATGTTCAAGCAAGCTAATCCTGCACGAGTTGTGCTGTAAGCCTGATTACAGTAATGTTGCATTCTTGAAACTAAAAGATACAGTTACACAGTTGCAGCATTGGCTCAAATTGGTGGAGTTCACCTAGTTCATCAGCAGCAGCCCCCGACCTGAGATCACCTCTCCTCCCGTGGGATGACAACACGGCTGAATCAGTTGGACTTGGACACAGATTTTGATTGCCTTTCAAAGTTATCATTACGCTGCCAGTGTGACCTTAGTACATCTAAATCTGCTTCAAATGACTGTGGGATTATTGTAATCAGAATTCCAAGAGCTGGGGGCTGGGAATATTCTACCCCCGGGCTCAGTGAGTGAGAGTAGCAGGTTACTTAAGTCTCTATTCATAATTTAGACACCTTTTCTGTTTCTGTTGTCTGTGTTGCAAACTCTGTACGAGGTTTATAAAACGTTTTCAAGGTTAAATCCAACCATCAGCACACATACTTTTTGCAAATAGTCACATGCTGAATAAAGCTATTTTCCCTTGGGGTTATCAAAAGTAACATTGATGGCCAGGGGCCAAGAGTAATGTGAGCTCTTTTGTTCTCTTCACGAGAAAATGAACACTGTAATGTTCAAATGATGTCTCAAGTTAAACGGGATGTTCTGTGTACAGCCAGTCTATGTACAGTGACTCACTGTGTGGAGGCAGAATGGCTCTCAGTGAACGCACACAACTGTAGAGGACACTCTCTGCTGTCCCTCGACTTGCCTTTGTGAAGCCCAGTTACCTCTGTACTCATATACAACATGACTATCAGATGCATTGCTTCTTCCATTATGCTGGGCAGAATAAACACACAAGCTAATGCTTGATGGTCAGCATTGGCTGTCTGGATTTCCATTTTCTATTTGATTACTGGGGGGCAGAATTATTATTATGAAATTATTTGGAGTCACATTTCTTGCCACGTGATGAATGTTACTTGAATATTCATTCTATTTCAAGCTCTGACTTGCCCATGTTTTGCCATTATATACATATAATATATATTTACATGTAAGAGGAACTATTTAATATGAAATATTTCAGACATTCATAACCACATGTGAATTGCAGTAGCATGTGGTGAACTGAAAGTTATTAGTATGTGTGTTTTACTTATATTCAAATAGGATATTAGTGTTGTAAGGTGCTTGTTTTTTAACTTGATATCTAATGGATTATTATATCAACTGTAAAAAAAATCGTACTTTATATAAGAGGGTTTTTAGTCAATATCAGAGAAGTGAGAATGTAAGTCTTTAATGCAGTCATGTGATTTGACAAAATGTAAGTACAAGATCCAAATCACTGACATTGTCAGCACAGATATTGATATATAATAAGAGATTATAGTGTGCTGAGACCCACACCCATAATGCCGGGTTGAAACAAAGCATAGAGCCCTTGGCCCAGGTCTGGTGTTAGTGCTGTGATGTGCTCTGTGGGTCTCATGACTTGTTCTTGGCTTTGTGTCACAGTCATTTCCAAGTGAGAGCAGAGAAGAGGCTGTGCTGTGGTTAATCTTCTCTTGTTTGTACATTCCTCTCACGATGGGCCAAAAACATGATTGATTGGTTGAGCACATCAAGTTTGATATCTCAACATGGACTTAAATACTTATCTGTAAAGTATCCACTCTTTTATCTTAAACCATTTTTCCCGTGCGGGGTTGCAGGGGGCTGGAGTTTATCGCAGACTATAGGTCACACAATGAAGAGGACCGCTCGCTGGTAAACATGAATCTAAACAACATACACAAACATTTGAGAAAAATGGGTTTGCAAATGTTTTATGAGGAAGGAAATGCGTTCAATAGGTTCAACATGTCCCTGTTGTT